AGAAGTCTCTTACCTGTCCAAGTATTTGTGAAAAGGAAGTCTTAACTGTCACCTAGTTTAAAAAACAATTATTTAAAAAGGTTACTTTTCCTATACTCACATTTTATTAAATGAGCACTCTACAACAATCACAATCACTACATTGTTATAATGATGAACCTAAAGGTACTCAAGATCTGAAAAGAATTCTCCAAACTATCAACATTTAATTTCAGTCAGCTGCAATTCTACTGTTCAGAATTTTGCTCTTAATCAAATTCTTTTCAATTGGATGAATGCCATGATACATGAGTAAGCTTTTACTAACTAATATAGTTAATTGGAATATCTTATGACCAGATCATACAAGATAAAGGAATTCACTGAATGACTGAATCCAGAAACTATACATTTATTTGCTGAAAAATTAAGCACAAATTAATCAACTTTCTATGTAACTTATACTTTAAAATCTCAAACCTACAATTGTATNTTAATTGGAATATCTTATGACCAGATCATACAAGATAAAGGAATTCACTGAATGACTGAATCCAGAAACTATACATTTATTTGCTGAAAAATTAAGCACAAATTAATCAACTTTCTATGTAACTTATACTTTAAAATCTCAAACCTACAATTGTATGGTACTAAAAAAAGCTAAGCAAAACCACTTCTGAGTAAATTTAATAAAAATAGGTTTCACATGATATAATACCAGGAACAAACAGAGCACATGTAGAAAAATTTGAGCAAAAACAATATTTTAAAAGGAAATTCATTGTTCATTAATTATCTCTACTATAAATATACCTCCTTAGATATTAGAAAGTCTGGGAAAAGGAAATATATCTTTCATAGAGAAACTGTAAAATATCTATATTTTGTCAATACATGGACTTTTTTGAAAATAAAATATTTGTTAAAACATGGACATTCTGACAGCATGCAGTATTTGAAGCCAAATTACTAATGCAGCTCTTCCTATCTCTATAGTATTAGAAACATGAAGGCACAAGTTGAAAACCATTACATCCTTGCAGAATCCTTCAATGCAAGAAACACAAAGCAAGATATCAAAGCACCAATAACTTCCAAAAATCTAAAATAACTCATAGTATAGGTCAAACTGAAGCTTGGTTGTAGGACAGATTCTATTCACTTGACCTACTGATTCTGGTTTACCCTAAGAAAGTTCTAAAAAGGAATCCAAATATTTCCAGTATATTCTATAACTAAATCTTAAAAATTAAGCAAACATATAACTTACCTCATATTGACAGTCTGATGACGTGTACATTTTTAGTAATGCTACATGGCTATCATTATCAGGTTGGGCAATATGGAGTTTCACAGAAATATCAGTGGAAGATGGAACCCTGAAAATATAAACAATGAATTTTCAAATACAAAATGCTGTGAAATAACCATGGCTAGGTCAATACTCAGTACCACACAATGCAATACTGTAAGGAAGCTAGATGACACACACATGAGTTGAGGGAGAGGGTGGAAAGGGGTTTCTGTTTGATGCAAGTAAAGTTAAATTCTACACTGCTTAAATAATACTGTACGTTATAATATTATATGTATTATCTTATGAGCACAATGCTACATAAAGGAAACCTATATTTTACTAAAAGGCACTATAATAATTTCACTAAAATTTTACTATGATTTAAATAAACAAAGTAAACTATATATTATTAAAAAACACTAAAGTTTAAGGTAAATTCTTTGATTTACTTACTGTGCAATGGTTAGTGAATCTTCATAAGACCAGGGAATATGAAGTTTATAGATACTAGTGATTTCTTCTGTGAANAAGGTTAATATGCTTTTAAATTTAAGTTATAACATTTTTCTGCCTCACTTTATAAAAATAAACTAATAAAATATCCTTGTTTGAAGTATCATTTACACCAGTTCTAAGGGTATAGCTCAATAAATCGTACATACTCTGGAGGGCTACAGTCCATCGGGTTGCAGAGAGTCAGACATGATTGAAACGACTTAGCATGCACACACTAAGTCGTTAGTGTAAAACCCTCACAAATTATAAACCAGGTAATTTTGAGCCACATGTCCCTTCCTGATCAGTATCCCTCACACGTAACCATCATTCTACCCTCTGGAGTATAGATTGGTTTTGCTGACTTCAATTACTCATGTAAGGAAATTCTTCCATCTCTTATGAAATTAACATTACTTTTTAAACTAGGTCTTTTGTCAGGCAGATGTCCCACATTCTGTATTTGTCTGCTTGTATAGTCAGTGTCATCATGCATGTTCTTCTGTCTTTGTATTTCCTAAGACCTGAAAGTTATACTAGAGGGTTGATTACTTTCAGCGTCATAGCTGGTTACTGGGACTTCGGATTGCATCCCAGGGGATACATGGCCTGGCTGTTGTTGTTCAATCCTAAGTCGTGTCCGATGCTGTGACCCCATGGACTGCAGCACGCCAGGCTTCCGTGTCCTTCACTAACTCCCAGAGTTTGCTCAAACTCATGTCTGTTGAGTAGATGATGCCATCCAACCATCTCATCCTCTGTCATCCCCATCTCCTCTTGCCTTCAGTCTTTCCCAGCATCAGGGTGTTTTCCAATGAGTTGACTCTTTGCACCAGGTGGCCAAAATATTGGAGCTTCAGCTTCAGAATCAGTTAGTTCTTTCAGTGAATATTTGGACTGATTTCCTTTAAGATTGACTGGTTTGATCTCCTTGCAGTCCAAGGGACTCTCAAGAGTCTTCTCCAGCACCACAGTTTGAAGGCATCATTTCTTCAGGACTCAGCCTTCTTTATGGTCCAACTCTCACATCTATACATGACTACTGGAAAAACCATAGCTTTGACTATATGGACTTTTATTGGCAAAGTAATGTCTCTACTTTTTAGTATGCTGTCTAGTTTTGTCATAGCTTTTCTTCAAAGGAGCAAGAGTCTTTTAATTTCGTGGCTGCAGTCACCATCCATATTGACTTTGGAGACCAAGAAAATTATGTCTGTCACTGTTTCTATTGTTTCCCCATCTATTTGCCATGAAGTGATGGGACAGGATGCCATGATCTTCATTTTTTTTTTTTTTTTGAGTTTTAAGCCAGCTTTTCCGCTCTCCTCTTTCTCCTTCATCAAGAGATTCTAGTTCCTCTTCACTTTCTGCATTAGGGTGATATTGTCTGCATATCTAAGGTTGTTGATATTTCTTTGGGAAATTTTGATTCCAGTTTATGCTTCATCCAGCCTGGTATTCCACATGATGTACTCTGTACATAAGTTAAACAAGTAGGGTGACAATATACAGCCTTGATCTACACCTTTCCCAGTTTTGAACCACTTCATTGTTCCATGTTCCTGGTTCTAACTGTTGCTTCCTGACCTGCATACAGGTCTTGGGAGGCAGGTAAGGTGGTCTGGTATTGCCATCTCTTGAAGAATTTTCCACAGTTTGTTGTGATCCACACAGTCAAAGGCTTTAGTGTAGTCAATAAAGCAGGAGTAGATGTTTTTCTGGAATTCCCTTGCTTTCTCTATGATCCAAGGGATGTTGGCAATTTGATCTCTGGTTCCACTGCCTTTTCTAAATCAGCTTGTAAATCTGGAAGTTCTCAGTTCATGTACTGTTGAAGACTACCTTGAAGGATTTTGAGCATTACCTTGCTAGCATGTGTAGTGAGCACAACTGGATGGTAGTTTGAACATTGTTTGGCATTGCCCTTCTTTGGGATTAGAATAAAAACAGAACTTTTCCCATCCTGTGGCCACTGCTGAGTTTTCCAAATTTGCTGGCATATTGAATGTAGCACTTTAACAGCATCATCTTTTAGGATTTGAAATAGCTCAGCTGGGATTCCATTACCCCCACTAGATTTGTTCATAGTAATGCTTCCTAAAGCCCACTTGACTTCACACTCTAGGTGAGTTACCACACGACTGTAGTAATCCACATCATTAAGATCTCTTTTGAACAGTTCTTCTGTATATTCTTGCCACATTTTCTTAATCTCTTCTGCTTCTGTTAGGTCCTTGCTGTTTTTGTCCTTTATTATGCCCATCCTTGCATGAAATATTCCCTTGGTATCTCCAGTTTTCTTGTAAAGATCTCTACTCTTTCCCAGTCTATTGTTTTCCTCTATTTCTTTGCAGTGTTCACCTGAGAAGGCTTTCTTATCTCTGCTTGCTATTCTCTGGAACTCTGTATTCAGTTGGATATATCTTTCTCTTTCTCCTTAGTCTTTGATTCTCTTCTTTTATCAACTAGTTGTTGTCACTTTTTAAGTAATAGTAAGATTGATCCATGCATTCTGCCTTGATTCATATTGCTTCATTAGAGTAAGGGATATCTTGGAGGACAGATGGGCTGGATGTTAGATGGCAGAGGAGGACAGGAGAGAGACTTCAGAGTGGAGCCACTGGGTGGATGTCAGCACCATTAACCGAAGAGCAGATGACATGCTTTAAGGGGAAAAACACCACCAAGATTTTGTTTGTGGAGGGGTTACCTATGAGATGTCTACCAAATATTCACATTGATGAGTCTCAAACTTAAGAAAGGTTTATGACTGAGTACCTAATTTGGGATTCCTCAGTAACCTTTGAAACCTTGGGATAAAAATGCAGTCCTCAGGGAGGTGATACAAATATTGATGAGACTCCCCAAATAGAGACCTCTATGTGACTGCTATAGTCTATAAACTTTTTAATATTCAAGGTAAAACATACCTTAGAAAACTCTAGACTACTTTTGTGATTTTTCAGCCAGAAAAATTGAGTCTGAAGTGGCAAAAGAACTTAACACTTGAGTTAGATGGAGAGGTTTTGGCATCAGAGCAATCCTGCCTGGCCATTTAGTCACTGCAGGACCTTGAAGAGCATGAAGTGGCTCTGAGCCTCATCCTCCTGCTGAAATAGTGATGCTCAAACCTGGTAAAACAGCAAATGCTCATTGGGTTGGCCAATTCCCAATTGTACTTTAGGATTCCATACAATTCTCTTTCTCCCGGAGAAACTTTCTATAGCTTTTTTTCTAAACTCTCTGCCACTGATTTGTGCTCCCTGGCACCTCGGTGTACTCCATCTGGGCGTTTCCAACCCTCCATTGTAACCACCTATTGTGGATTATTCCCCACTGTAGACTGAGACCTACTTCAGGGCTTGGTCAGTGCCTAACATATTCTTGAAAATCAAGGACAGGACCCTAGGGTTTTGTCTGGCACAGAAGAGGCACTCAGTAAATAATGATGGAAGGGAGGAAGGGGAAAATGACAAATGAAAGGAGTTGGAAGGAAGGAAGGTAGGGGCATGGAACTCTCTCTTACTAGACAGAGCTTCTTAAGGCTACGGACATTTCCTTACTCATTTCTGTATCTTCAGCCTTTACCACAGAGTAATGATTTAAAAAATCTATACTAATTACAGAAAAAGCCCCAAATAATACAGCATTGTTATTATTGGCCATACTTTATTTTATGAACTATTTACATAAACATTAAAATTGGGTACTCTCTAAACAGAGGTTTTGTTTTGTTTTGTTTAGATGATTAAAATAAGCCCCAAAGAGGTGAAATCACATCCTCCTGGTCATAAGAAAAACGTATCAGAAATTGAATTTCTTTCCTGTAACTCTCTAAAGATACCTTCTTTGGGTCAAAACTGGAAAGTGCTTTTGGAGTAAGTGAAGGAAGTTATGACTCAAGTGATTGGAACATAGCAACTGCTTCATAAACGTTAGCTAATAACATCATTAATTTTCTATTCATTCCCCAGGAAAGCCTTCCCCATTACCAGCCTGTATTGATCTCACAGTTGTTTATACTCATATCTTCCTCACTAAATAGTTCAGACATTTCTGTCTAGTCTTTTAGACTCAATAGCAAACAGCTTGTGTGCTGAGACAGCACCTAAAAACACCATGTCTGTCATTGACTCAACTCCAGTCCCAGCTGCACGCTAGGTGCACCGTAAGTGCTTGGGTTTTTAATCTAGAGGCAGCTTTGTGCAGAAGAGGGAACATCAGCTTTACTGGCAAAGTTCTAGTCCTGGTTTAATTGCAGTTTGCACGTGGGGAGGGGCCCTGCATGCTTGGACTTTGAAAAAATAAAATTGGGCTGATAATCTCTGCCCCTGTAACTATCAGAAGGTATGGTGAGTTTCAAATAGGATAACGCACATCATAAATTGCAGTGCAGAGATAAGGTTTTTATTATCCCAGTTATATTATATCCCTCTCTGTCTACTTGCTGCATATTACTACCTTCTCATTTAGGTGAACACTCAATATTCACCAAATGATTTTCCCTAAATCAATAATATAAACAAAGAAAACAAGATGATCTAGTTAAAAAAAAAAAAGGCTCAGAAAATTAACTCTCAGTACTGTGTGTACAGTATTGTCTTAGAAAGGTAGGCTGATATAATATGCCACTAACTCTGTAAGTCAGAGAAGAATTTACCAAAATGCTTGCAAGTAAATGCATTTTCTACAATTCACTCTAGCGCAGCAATTCTCAGGAGATAACACCATTAATACTCCATTTCAAATTAAGAAACATATGCTTTTTCTTCTCTTAAAAAAAAAAAGCAAGGGAACATGGCCCATTTTCCTTCCTTTACAAAAACAAAAGCTTTTAAAATGATAAAAATTGCCTCTGCTTGATAAAACAGCCATCTGCATCTGATTTAGTTAAGTGTTATTCGTGTATGTTTTTATATTATTATTATTGCTGGTTGGAGAAAAATGCGTAAATACAAAGAGAGGTCTTTGGAAAGGTCACACAATTTCTAGTTCAATTATCCCTGAAACTTGGCCTCACCTTCAAGCTG